AAGTTCTGGGGGTTACTGTGTGGCAGCCTGGCTGGCCTGTCTCATCTGGGGACTTGCTTATAGTGAATGGTCTGTCTCCCTCTCCCCTCATCAGCTCCCACTTTGCCTCTCATGTCCACTGCTGGAGAAGCAGTGCTTGGAACAGTGCCTGACACAGAGAAGGAACTCAGGGAACAGCTGTTGAGTGACTGCAGAAACGTGCTCCCCATGCTCTGCTCCTTGACCAGGAGGAGCCCATGTGAAGATCCAAGGATGGGGAGGTGATTGGCATCATCTCCAGGTCTCTGGCAGGACCTATGCAGCCTGACAACCAACATTTTTGTGTGCCAGGCAAAAATGTTGGCACATTTTTGCCAACATTTGGTTCAGCTCTGGGAGTTGGAAAGTGAGGACAACATGGTCCCCTGCCCTGAGCTGGGCCCTGTTAGGTGAGAATGCTGGTCTCTCAATGCCAGTCCCTGGTTGCTCACCATACCACTGGGCCCCCTTGGGGTCTCAGTGACATCTTACCCAGGGGTATTTTCAACCTAACTCCACCCTGGCTCTGAAGCCTCACATTGCCTCATTCAGAGCAGCAGTGCCTACCCGCCCACACACCCCCACATACCCCCCCATTGTGGGAGGCAGTGGGCTCAAGGTTGAGGGCTCACCAGAGACCACCAGAGCCTCACCATCACCCAGGGGTCCCAGCTTAAGCAGCTGGGCAGTGACCAGGGACTCCTCGGCCTATACAGTAGTTAGCGGTGTGTGCCAATATAGAGGAGGTTGAGAACCAGTAGGGAAAAAGCCTCTGAGTCCTCTACCTAGGGTGGGACCAGATCCAAGATGCCAGCCACATGGTACTCTCACCCATCTGATGCAGTTTAGGACAGTGCCTCAGGAAAGTGTCGGGGGGTCGGGGAGGTTGTCCCTCTTAGCTGGTCAGCCACAGTCTCAGAGTCCAGTCCAATCTGTTTCCCCCAAAGCCCTCCCCACTCTCCGATGTGAGGGAGAGACCTCCAACCTCTCCCCGTCTATGCCCTATGCCTCACAGCAGGAGGGGCTTTGCTGGCCAAATCAGGGCAGGGGAGGCCAGTGGCACACAGCTATCCACGTCTTCGTCCTCCTGCACAGACAAACTCAAGCAGTCATGACTCTTTTTTTTTAGAGAGAGATTTTTGCTATAGGGTGCGTGTGCTCACCGGAGAGACAGAGAGAGACAGAAAGGCAGAAAGCAAGAAGTCACCTCCCCCCAGGGAGGAAGGCCATGCCGCTAATCCCTTCTCCTCCAGTCACCTCTCAGGATCTTGGGCATGCACATATACGCACCCTATAGCAAATATCTCTCTCTTAAAAAAGAGATTTTTTTAAGCTGCCGGTCCAGGATTCGAACAGCGGTCAACTATGTGGGAGTCCAGTGATATAACCATTATGCCATCTGCTGGTCCCCATCATGACTCTTATCACTGCTTGCCAGACAAGGTCCCTGCACAACCCTGGAAACCTCTATGTGAGGAGGGCTCAGTTGTCCCCAGTCCATAGATTTGAAGACTAAGGTGTGGAGCAGTTACCCGGCTGGGAGACAAGAAGCTGGAGTGTGAACCAGTGGGCCTGGCTCAGAGGAAGTCCTCTGGTGAACCTGGAGCTCTTTCAACCCCTGGTCTGAAAGCCAAGCCTTCAGAAAGCCCACACACTAATAAAACCTAACTGGAAATGACGGCGATACACACAAAACATACTTGAGGGCCCTAAAAACAAACATTTGAGATGTGAGGGGTCAATCCAGGAATACCTGGAGGAAGTAACCCTGGAGCCAGTTTCTTTGGTTTCATGGAGCCTTCCAGAAAAAGGATAGCTCTAGTTTCCCTCGAGAAATCCAGTGGGCAAGGAGGTGGGGAGCCTGGCCCTTTACATGTTCAGGAAGGTCTCAAGAAGGAGTGGCTCAGGCCTACAACTGAGAACTGCATGATAGAGGGAGATTTCAGGAAAGAGAAGGAAAGAATTAGCCAAAAAAGAAAAACAAAAAAACAAACAAAAAAACCCAATTGGCAAAAGGGAAGTGGCTGGATAGAAAGGCACGTGTGGATGAATTTTAATGCAATCAGAAAGCTGTCATAATGATAATAAAGGAATACATTCAGACGTCAGGAGAGGGGAAGGCAAGAACTGCGGCCCAGCATTTAAATCAGGCTCCTCTGCAGAGGAGGTGCCTTCTCTTTTCTTCCTTTTTCTTTCCAAAGGAGGAAATGGAATTTTTAAGCAGAAGGGCCTGGGATTAGCAGGGGGCGGTTTTCCCTTCTTGGTCTTTTTGGAAATCCCATTTAATCAGAGCCTTTTAAAGACACTGAGGGTTGGGGCTGGCGTGGGCAGTGTAAGGGAGCTTTGGGCCTTGCATGGAGAGGAGTTTGAATCGCTCCTGTCACCATGCAAGGAACGTGTGGCTGCCTCCTGGAGTCGCACTCGGGGCTCCCACCCCTTACTCCATCTCTGCCCTTTCTGCCCTTCTCTCTCTGCTCTTTGTTTCCATTCTTGTTCCCCTGTCTACTGCCATTTTCTGTCTCCTATTCCCTCTATGCTTCTAATTCCATCTCCTCCGGTCCTTCAGTCTCACCTTCCACTCTCTTCCTTCCTTTTAGTAAAATTTTTTATTTAAGGTTTTTGCCATAGGGCATATGCACTCATCAGAGAGAGACAGTGAGAGGGAAGGTGAGAAATCACCTCCCTGGGGAATGGCCATGCCACAATCCCTTCTCCTCCATTCTCCTCCTGGGATTTTGGGCACGCACGTGCACAAACACACATCTGGTATGACTTTCAAGCTGCCGGGTCTGGAACTGGAAGAGCAATCAACTATGTGGGAGTCCAGCGTTGTAACCACCACACCACCTAGTGCCCCTCTCTTTCTTCCTTTTGGTTTCTTAGTTCCTGCTCTTCCCACTCCAGAGCTTGGAGTTGGCAAGCCAGGGGGCCATGCCTGTAGCCCTAGAGATGGAGTGGGAGTGTGCCCCAGAGTCCTGACCTGATCCAGGAGCCAGGGAGGACAGCCCAGGCTGGGATAGGTCATTGGGCTGGAGGCTCTGGGCCCCAGAGCTTTGACTGAGACCAAGTACTATGGAGGACCAGCTGGTGTCCTGACCTAGAACTGGCAATGGGGCTCTGGAGGAGAAGCTAGGACCCTGGGCCACCTTACCACAGAGAGCTTGCCCAGTACTTAGTGCATTTGGGTCGAGGGGTCCCAGCAGGGATCCCTATGCTCAGAGCTTCCTAAGTGCAGGACTCTGGAGGGGCTTGTGAAGGAGAGCAAGGGCCTGGAAGCTTCTGCTTTGCTCCAGATCCCAGCCAGTTTCTCAGCTCTAGGTGAACACCCCTGGCAGAATGGACAAGGTGGGGCCTCTCTGAGGGAAGAGGTACTAACCACATTGAATACAGAACACAGGGTCCTTCGGAAGAAACACTAAAGGCCCTTGGCAGTGTGGGACCTCCATTCTGCAGCATTGGTCGTGTGGCAATCGTTGCAGAGCCCACAAACACCTTGGGCGTGCCTGCTGAGTGTTGCCACCCCTGGGACCCCATGCCAGTCACCATGGCTGTATGCCAATTTAGCCCAAACGGACTGGTGTAAAACGACCGTTTATTATGCTTGGAATTCTGTGGGTTGGAAATTCACAGGGCACCACACACGGAAGGTTGTCTCTGCTTCAGGACAGTTTGTCTCAGCTGGAAGATGCAAAGACCGGGAGCTGGAATTATCTGGGGAGCCATTCACTCACAGGCCTGGTGGCTGATGGCGGCTGTCAGCAGGGGGCCTCAGAGCCTTTCCCAGTGGACTCCCTGTGTGGGCTAATTGGGGGTTCTTCACAGCTTGGAGGCTGGCTTCCACTGAGCAAATGTTCCCCAAAGAGGGGAATCAGTGCTAGCTGATCCCTTTTACTGCTTAGCCTTGGAAGTCACCTGACAGCACTCTGCCACCCTTTATTGGTTAGGGCAGTCACAAGCCTCCCCAACCCCAACCCCCAACCAGGTTCAAGGGGAGGAACATAGACCCCCTTCCTCAGTGAGGACGGAAAATCCCATTGAAGTAAGAGCCTGTGGGACAGAGATCCTTTCGCAGTGGTTTACAAACTGCTACAGAGCCACCCAGCAGTGTGATCTCTGTCACCCTGAGCACACTGCTGCCTTGGGGTCAAACTCGGAGTTCATGACAGGACGTGTGGAGGCCATTGGATTTTACAGCGTGAACAAACTGGAAGGGTCAGACCAGGGAGAGCAGCCGAAGGGAGCTGTGTCCCTGGGTATGGCATGCGGTGTGCATGCATTCATTTTTCGTGCATTGTGTAACTGTACTGAAGACCTACTGTGTGCCTCAGGGGAGGGGTCTGGTTTCCTTCCCCAGAGAGCATACAAGGGGATGGGGCACGGGGAAGGCGAGCTGGCACGCAGTAAATAAGGCTGTCGGGACACTGGGCGCTGGGACATTGAATACAGGAGGCGGAGGGGAGCAATGGTGAGGACGCATTTCAACTTAGGCCTGCAGAAACATTCAGCCCTGTGGTCTTGGAGTGCTCTGGTCCCCGGTGCACTTGCCAGCTATGATTAATTCTGGCACCTGAGGAAGACTGTGTGTGTTTAAGAGGGAGGAAGGGGACGCAGACTCCTGCGCTTTAGTGAGAGACCAGGCCAGGGGCTTCGCTCCTGCTCCTGGCTCGCAGCCCGCCTCTTAGGCAGGAGGAGGCCGAGTCGCTGCAACCCAGCTCCCGCTTGATTCAGCCCCGCCTCCCTCACCGCTCCCTCTGGCTATGCTCTCCTCTTCTCCCGTGCCCCTTCCGACCCCCTACTCTCCTTCGCTCCCCTTGCGACGTCTAGCCCGCGCCCCGCCTTATTTCCGCTACCCCTCTCGGCTCAGAGTCCCCGCCCTGCCTCCCGCCCAGCTCTCGCCTCTCCCGTGCCCTCGCCCTCCCCAGGCCTGTCCCCGCGCCGCCAGGCTCCCCGGCCCAGGTAAGCATCTCCTAATTTTGTTCTAGAAGATAGAAAACTTTTCGTGGGCATGCTCAACAAGCAGCAGTCCGAGGACGACGTGCGCCGTCTCTTCGAGGCCTTCGGGAACATCGAAGAGTGCACCATCCTGCGCGGCCCAGACGGCAACAGCAAGGGTGCGTGGGGGCGTGGCGTGGGTGTGGGCGTGGCCTCCCCCAGTCCCCGGAAACAAGAAGGGTGTTTTAAGTTCTAGGTCTTTCTGTGTATGTCTCGGTGTCTCTCTTTGCTGCCTTCCCACCCCCACCCGACCCGGCCTCTCCCGGGCCCTACCCCTCAGTCCCTGAGTGCTCTTGGGCTGCCTGGTGCTCAGGGACAGTGGCTCAGCTTCTCCTGCCCCTGCAGGGTGCGCTTTTGTGAAGTACTCTTCCCACGCTGAGGCACAAGCCGCCATCAACGCTCTACACGGCAGCCAGACGATGCCGGTGAGTGCGCCCCCTTGGGGCGGGAACGGAGCAGCAGCGCGATCAGGATCCCTGCACCCTGAGGGCCCCGCCTGAGTCTGCCCCGCGACTCAGATCCCACATTGCCAACGCGTGCTGCAGTCATGACCTGCCCATGAGATAGGAGGGCATGACCCTTACCCAGTTTCTCGGACAAGGACACTGAGGCCCAGAGCTGTTAAGGAACTGGCCCGAGACCACGTAGCTAGAAAATACCCGCGATGGGGTTAAGAGCTCATGCCCCCGGGGGAGCGCTGATGTGACCCGGATAGTGCCCGATGGAGAGGGAGGGTCGGGCCCAGGCCAGGGCACCGACTGCTGGGGGCGAGGACCCAGGCCAGGGCACCGACTGCTGGGGGCGAAGGTGCTGGGGCAGGTGGGTCTCATGCGCTGTCCGTACCATAGGGAGCCTCGTCCAGTCTCGTGGTCAAGTTCGCCGACACTGACAAGGAGCGCACGATGCGGCGAATGCAGCAGATGGCCGGGCAGATGGGCATGTTCAACCCGATGGCCATCCCGTTCGGGGCCTATGGCGCCTACGCACAAGCAGTAAGTGGGGGCGAGGATGGGCGGCGTTCTGAGCTCACTGCCCTGGGAACCCCAGGGAACAAAGACACCTAATCCAAAATACTGCTCCTGCTGTGGACAGTGCACCAGGTGCCGAAATGAACTCAGGGAGTGTAACCTCAGAAGGGGTATGAGAAGGCTGGTCCAGTTGGGGATTGCTGCCAGGGGGAGGTGGTTGCTGTCCCTAGTTCTTAAGGAGAGAAGCTGGGAGAAGTCTCTGGGCAGGGCCTCAGGGTGGGTTTTCCTGAGCGCCTCTCAGCTAAATCAGTAGGATGCACAGAGGGGAGAGGAGGTTCAGGTGCTAGTTGTCATTGCCCCACCCACCACACCCCCACAATTGGAAAGGTGTCCTCAGGCCTTCTGGTGGATCCTGGTACGATGTCCCCAAAGCCCTCCACACTCACACTGTCCCTGCAGGTTCCTCAGTTCCCTCCTCAGGCCTCTGACCCACTACACCCGGGCCTACTCTGTCAACAGCTCCCCAAGCTGCCTCTGGACTTGTAATCACAGCCCTGGAAGGATGACCCCGAGGAAGCCCAGATTTCAGGCTCTAAAAATGAAAGTAAATGCACTTCCTCAGCTGCACCCAGCCACTTCCTCTGTCCCCATTCACCTTTGAGATATCTGGGGTACCCGGGGTTCTTTTCATGGTTCTCCTGATACTTCTACCCAGAAGACTACAAACTGAGACCCTTTTAGACAGAAATATGTGCTGTGTCTCTGGAGGCTCATCTAACATGGTGGAGCTGACCAGCACCCTCTCCCACCCTCCGCAACAATGTTAGAGCCCCACAGACCCTACCTTATATCTTGATCCAGTCACCTCTCAGGTCAGTGAGCCTCAATAGATACAAAGACTAGGGCAGGAATAGAGGAGACATCGGGGCCCTCTGGAGGGGTGGCCAGAAGACTCTCAGTGCCCTGGGGCTCAGGGCCTGAGAGGCGGGCCTCCAGGAGTTGAGCCCCCTGGTGGGGAGGGATGCCCCCTGGAAGCGCATGATATTTTTTCCACTTCTTCTGCCCCAGCTGATGCAGCAGCAAGCGGCCCTTATGGCATCAGTGGCGCAGGGTGGCTACCTGAACCCCATGGCTGCCTTCGCTGCCGCCCAGATGCAGCAGATGGCGGCCCTCAACATGAACGGCCTTGCGGCCGCACCTATGACCCCAACCTCAGGTGAGCCGGCAGGTGCCACCCAGGGCCTAGCCTGACAGAACAGCTGAGCCTAGGTTGGGAACTAATTTTGGCTACCAATGGGTCACCTTGTGGGAAGACTACATAGGGCCTGGGACCAATTTGTCTCAAAAATATTCTGGTACCTGGAGGGCCAGGGGAAGACGGGGTGTGGCCCATGGTTGGTGAAAATTCTCTCGAGTTGTTTGGCCATTTCAGAAAACAATCCATCTCAATTTCTATTGATAGTAGATAACTGCAAAGAAGCAGATGGGAAAGAAGAGACAAAATCCTGCCCTTGGAGAGGTGTCAGTCTGACCAGTGAGAGAGGTCTGAGGGGAGACCTCATTTGCATTTTCCAAGACAACTATACACAACAAGCTATAGAGAGTTAGAGTTATCAAAGGAAGGGAGAGCTGGCCACATGGGTACCAGCCCTTTCTGACTTGACTGAAGTGACCAAGAAATACTGTAGTTAAGTGTGAACCAAATGTGGTTAAAATCAAGGGCGCTGAGATCAGTCTATGAGGGAGTCTTCGGAAAGTAGATGGGAAATGTGTATTTAAAAAAAAAAAAAAACTACTCATAAATTTCAAACTTTCTTTGCCATAGGGTGCATGAGCTCACCGGGGTAGGGGGAGAGAGAGAGATAGCACCTCCTTTCCCAGGGTAATGGTCACACAGGACTTTGAGCGCACGCACACACACATACACACACACATATGCCTGACATGATTTTCAGACTGCTGGGTCTGGAACTCTAACCATGGAGTCAGTTATGTGGGATCCAATGCCTTAAAAACCACACTACCTGTTGGCCCCCATTTCACACTTTTTTTGCTCCAAAATAAACATACACTTTCATTCCATTTTCTCACCGGCTTTTTGAAGCCCTGTTCTATGTGTTATAGGTTCACGGATAAGCTGTTGGTGGTCAGGGAAGTCTTTGTGGGCTTGGTGGGACTTGTACTCTGCCTTGAAGGATGGATATGATTGGGATGGGTGAAGACACTCCAGACAGGGAGATGAACTGAGTACTGGTTCACAGAAAAGGCTGAGCTGGTGTGCAAGCTCCAAGTCTCTCTCCAAGAGCTTGATGCAGGGGATAGGAGGTGGAGCTCTATGATCACCCTTGTTCTGCTTGTCTCTCTTCCTCCCCACTCCTGGAACCAGGTGGCAGCACCCCACCGGGCATCACTGCACCAGCTGTGCCTAGCATCCCGTCCCCCATTGGGGTGAACGGCTTCACTGGCCTTCCCCCACAGGCCAATGGACAACCTGCCGCAGAAGCTGTGTTCGCCAATGGCATCCACCCCTACCCAGGTAAGCACATCTGGTAGCTATTCCTTCCTCACATATCACATCCTCATCTCTTCTGTCCTTGTCCTTGCTGTTATAAGAAGGAGCACATGGGTCCTGCTCTAGGTCCCTTTCCTGAGTGGAACCCCAGATGTGACCAGTGTCCTTACCTCCTACAGAGATCCTGTGAGAGAGAAAGACCAAAATACCACCCTTGGGGATATATCAGTTTGGTCAGTGAGTGAGAACCCCATTCCATGAGGCACTCTATGGGAAGAAAAGAGACAGATCCTACAGTTGTGCAACCAGGTAGAAATGCTAGTAACTGCAAATTAATTGAGTGTGAATTTGACCTATATGAAGTAAGGGAGTAGAAGCTAAAAGAATAACCAGATTTAGTGTTAAATAGGAAAAAAGAATCTTTGGGGAAGGAAGTGGAGGTGTATTAATTGGTAGTCTACCCAGTACATATCAGCCTGGCCCAATGGTGTACACAAAGCTCTGGTCAGCACCTTGGACAGTGAGTAAACAGTGGATCAGCACTTTGGACAGCTCTCTACCCACTGGATCTGCAGTCTGGCACGTAATCTCCATGAGGCCTGTTCTCATGAGCTTGGTTCTTCTCCAGTTTAGTAGTTCTCACATAATGAGAATGCCTGGTTACCTGAAGCAGCTCCTCTCTCTGGTCTGGAGGATGACCTGAGAGCAGGACGGGGAAGCCAGGCCCAAAGCCCTAGAGTAGACTAGCAAGGGGCAATGCAATAGAGATGGAAGAATGCCATCCCCTTCCTGGAGAGCAGAGGACAATGATACAGGAGCCCCATAAATATCAGTAAGTTCCCAGTCTGTGTTGGATTAGATGGGGGTCCCAGGAGAAAGGCAAGGCATGGGCCTTTCTCCTAGGAGATCAAAGCCTAGTCGGGAGCACTATACATCTACAGAATGATGAGACCATAAGCAGAACAAAATTGGACCATATGAATGTTCTCAGACTTCAGGTGCTAAAAGTTGCAAATTAAGGGAGCGTTCTTCAGGCTGAAGAAGCCTTAAGAAGTCTCCATGTGTGGGGAGTACTCAGATCAGATTTGAACAGATCCGGCAGACCTGGAGAGGTGAGGATGAACAGTAATGCACTCCTGTGCAGGGACCTGTCCTGGGGGTGGGGGTGGGGCAAACAGAGCAAAGCAGGCAGGCCAGTCTGAGGTACATAAGCAGGAAGGGCAGTTATACCTCCCACTCGGTGCTATCAGAGTCCCGTATGGGGCTTTACACAACCACAGACGCCCAGAGACTCTAACTTTACTGTCAGGAATGAGGCTCAGATGTCTGTAGCATATCAAAGTTCTACCAGCAGCAGAGTATACAAACACTATGCTAGAGGGAAATAGAGAAGGGGACTCTTGACTTTGAACTTGGTCCTCAGTCCCATTTCAGTACTTTCCCTGCAGTGCACCCCTCTGTCCACAGAGAGGAGGCCAGAGAGGTCTAGAAAGTCAAAGTGTAAGGCCCAGGGGATTTGGAGTATTGTTCAAGGATGAAGACTCAAAATATTAGGGGTAGCAGGGGAGGGTCTTGGCAAGCTGGAGGTGGGAGAGACCCACCATTCAGGCTCATGGGCTGGGAGATGCCATCCTCAGCACATCTGGGTTGCTTTATCCTCTGCTCCACCCTGCCCACAAGCCCATCTGGATCTCCGGATTCTGGAAACCTGCTCCTGCCCCACCCCCTTCAGCATCTGTGAGCCATTTCCCTCCTGGAATTTGGAAATGTTTCTTTCCCCCATTTGTAACAATCTGCCACATCTCATAAACAATTCCCTGCCAGAGCAAGAGGGAGGGATGGGGGAAGGAAAGGAAAAAAAAGTAGTACATTAAAAAAATTAATTTACATCTTTAAATGCAGAGTTTGGAGCTGCTGTAATGAGCGAGATCCTTCAAAATGTTCACTCTTTGGCAGTTACTAATGAGGTCGTTAAGCAGAGATGTAGAGAGGGGTCTCATAAATGCTTTCCTCCACTTCCTCGCCCCAGGTGGCTTCTCTATTCTCCAACCCACGTGCTGAGATCACGGTGGAGGCACATAGTGTGGCCTTTACTGCCACATAACACTCTTGAAGGGTGGCTCCCAGAAATGTTACAGACCCCTCCTCCCTTCCCTCCTTGAGCGCATTATTTGCTGAGCCATTACTCTGTCCCTGACACTGCAGGGTATTGCCGTGTTGTTGTGCAAGTTGTATTTTGCATGAGGGCACCCAGCTATGTGCCTGGAGTAAGGGGCACCCATTTCTCATTTGCTTAGTCACTGCTCAGGTGAGCAGCTAGGAAGACCATGAGAACAAATCAGATGTGGCTCTCCCTCCAGAGGGCCTAGAGGCTGGCAGGTGACAGGCAGAAGGAACAGCAGGAACACCCCGTCAAGCTCATCACAGCTGGGAGCTCTTGGCTCCAGTCTCCACGGTGGGGAAATATAGGGCCAGGTGTCGGCCTGGGACAGTCCCAGGCAGGATGGCACCTGCATTGTGGCCTATCTTCAGCTCTGCCCTTCTGAGCAGAGCCCTCATGGGCCAGCTCCTCTGCTGCATCCATTTCCTGGGGAGAATCGAACCTGCCATCCTGCTTTCTCTGGGGTCCTCTGCCTCAGGCTCTTCCTGGGATCCCGAGGATCAGGTACTATTTTTGTAGTAGAATATTACTGAGACTCGGTGATGAGAACTCAGAAGGGAAGTTTGGGAAGGCTATTCAGTCATAGGGCTTGTAAGCTTGGCACAGCCAGTTAGCTTGGCTGCTGGGTTGACAGGCAGATAAGTTGAAATGGTTTTCTTCTCACAACCCTTGGCTTATCTACTCTGCCCTAACCATAGTGGAGGGTGGGTCTTCCCTCTAGATGAACATCTGTCTCTGTCCACCTCCCTGGGCTTCGAAGGCAGACCCCTTGCAGGTCAGTCATTTCTGGCCTTGGTCACCAAAGGCAGTGCCCACTGCTGGTGCCTGCTTTGGGCTGTGCCCATAGCTCTTGCAGTGATAGCAAAGGCAACAGAATGAACCAAGTAAGCCTTTTCCTAGCCCAACTTCCCTGAGTTTCTAGCGCAAGTATCAGTCCAAGGGACTACACCTTGCAGTAGGTGCGGATGGCCAGCATCACAGGCCAGAAGGTGGGAGGAAGATTCTTGAACTTCTGGTTCCTCTTCCCTCCCTCAGCCCATAGGGCAGCCCTCATTGTGTGGCTGGTCCCTGCTGAGAGCCATCTGAGCCATGGCCCAGGAGTGGAAGACCCTTCCGTGCCTTGTGTAAAGTCCCTAAGAATGAAGGAGGGGTCCTCTGTTTGAGTAGAAGCTGTTGCCCTGGGAGGACAGGGTGGTAGGGGGAGGCCTCCCCTGCCTTTTCTACCACTTATCCAGCACCTGCCAGAATATCCACTCATTCACTGCCCCTGACATCTGCTGGGATCAGTGAGGATGAGCCCGCCCTCCTGACAGCCTGGAGTCCTCTCCCTCACTTCCCCATAGCCCAGCTCCAGAACAGTGCCCCTCATGTATCACTTGACCACTAAGTCCTCATGGTCAAGCCCTCTTCTGGCATCTCTTCCTCAACCTTTCTCCGTCTTCTGCATGAATCACCCATCAACCCCCACCCCAGGCTGGCAACAGTCTGTATCCCCCAGTCAGGGTGGGCAAGCCTCCTAAGGGGCCCAGGCTGCAAAAGGGGGACACTAAAAGTGTCCAAAACTCAGGGTTCCTATCTCAGGCATCCTGTCCCAGGACAGAGCCTACAGTCGCTTAAAAGGGCAGTGCAGCCACATGTTGTCCCCATGGGTGTTGGGGGAGGGGCCCATCTGGGCACACTGCTGACCTCTGCCCCTTGGCTCCCCTGCAGCGCAGAGCCCCACCGCCGCGGACCCCCTGCAGCAGGCCTACGCTGGAGTGCAGCAGTATGCAGGTCGTTAGTATCCGCACGTCCCCACGGCTCTGCCCCGGCTACGGTCATCTCTCCACACCTGGGACACCGGCATCCCCACCCCATCCCAGATTGGACCCAGGCTGCATGGGGTGGGGGGAAGGAGGGCTGTACTGCAGAGACACCCCCACTTTGGGCTGGTCCCCTAGCATTCAGGACCAAATTTACCCAACATGACATAGTGCCCTGGCAGTGGTGAGTGGGCAGAACTTCAGAGAGTTGGAGAGTCGGGATGAAGTTCTGCCCTTGCTGTGCAGTTAGTTGTCTTTGAGGCCAGATTTCTCTTCCCTATGGTGCAGCCAGGGTCAGTTTGCCCAGGAGCACCCAACCACATAGCAGCACTTGGGCAAGGGTGGACCTGGGGTGCTGCCCACTACAACCCATGGTCACAACGTTTGAGAGAAGGAGGGACTCTGGAAGAGAAGCAGCTTTCACTCCCCTCTCCCAGCCTCACACAGGCTCGAGCAAGTACTACAGAGAACAGGGAGAAGGGGCAGCCAGACTGGGAGAAAAGGAGAGGTGAGAAGAGACAAGTGGCCTTGAGTCCCTGAGCCCAGGCCAAGGTGCCAGCCAAGCTGCTTTCCCTCACCCCTGGACGGGGCATTGGGCCCTCAGTCACTGCTCCAGCCTGTTTTCTGGTGACTGGCCTAGTCAGAGTCCCTCTCTGCTTTCCCCTACCCCTCTGCCCCACTGAGGACAGTCAGGGGCTGTCTGACAAAGTGAGGACCCAGGTGAAGCTGGCCTTACACATCCAGAGCCCAGAGGAAGCTTCCCTGGTGCCCCCCCCCCTCAAGCCCTGCCACTCTGGGAGCTGGGCCAGGCTGAGGAGGGAGCTGGGTACCCCTGCCTGTTTCTGACCCTTTTCCAACCGAGTACAAAAAACATCAGACTTGTCCAACCTGGTCCTCTGCCCTTGAGGCTAATGCCCCTCCCCTCCCCCCACACACATGGAGACTCCCCAGAGGCACACAGATGGCATCTGAGTGGGAGTGAGGGTACATTAGCCAGAGCCAGCCATGGCGCGACCTTCTCGTGGGTTCAGGGGGGAATCGTGTCCAGAGCACTCTGATGTTTGTGATTACCCATGCCATGTGTGTTCCACACATGTGGATTGCCCACTGTTTCAGATTAAACTTGCTCCCCGCCAGGCACGCACACACATGGGCGTGCATACACATGCACACACGCATGCATGTTTCTACTCTCTATTCTGCCACATCTCCTTCACTAGTACTGAAAGCTGGCTCTTCATTAAGTGGCTGAGCTGCAATGCACTTTTTGGCTGGTCTTCCTTCCTGCTCAACACTGAAATCTCTCTCTTTCTTCTTGCCTCTCACCCTGTCTGTCTCTGCGTCCTGTCACCGTCTCTCGCCTCTTCTCTTTGGCCCTCCAGCAGCCGCCTACCCTGCTGCCTATGGTCAGATAAGCCAGGCCTTTCCTCAGCCTCCTCCAATGATTCCCCAGCAACAGAGAGAAGGTGAGTCTGCGGCCGGGGCTCCTGGGCCCCCTCTTCCCCTTCTCTCCCCAAAGAGGCTGCTCACCTGTGCCTTTGGCTGGGTGTGGCACTACAGAGGTGGCCATGGTTGCGTGTTGTGTTGAGGGAGACAGAGGCTGTGAGATGCAGTACTTTCTAGTCTAAGCATGAAGGTGTGCTTCCTTTGGGCAGCTCTACAGGCCAGAGTCGTGGCTGGCCGTGGGGCAGGGGACTGGGCAGATTTCTGAGACCTGGCAGGCCACACACATGGCACCTTCCCACTCCCCTCCATCATTTGCCACTGCCTGACACAGGGCTCACATGACATTTCTTGCTCTGTGGTTCAGGTTGTCTTCCTTTCCTAGCAGCCCCTGAATTAGTCCATAAACAGAACCTGGCAGGGGTGAGACATGTACTTGCTGGTGGAGGCCTTGTCCCTGCCCCAGGAAGTTCCTAATCTCACAGAGGAGACAGCTGTGGGCACCGAGTAGGAAACAGTGAATAACCTGAGGTGGTCGGGAGGTAAGCCCCTGGAGGCAGTGGGTCCAAGGATCCCCCTCCCCTCCTGCACACTGGCCAGATTTGGGGGTGAAGAGGACAGGGAAAGAAGGAGTGCTCATGGTGGGCAGTGTAGAGAGGGAGACTAGCTCACGATAAACAGGGCACTCATGCCCTCTGGGTGACCAAAAGCTCCCTGGGCAGCACTCCATGGGCAGTGTGAGGGAGAGGATGGAGTGCCCCAGACAGGCCTGGAGGAAGAAGGGGGTCCTAGAAATCCACAGCCACAGTCCTGGTGTGAGGCAAAGTCAGCAGGCTTGGGTTGCAGGGACCACATGATGGTGCCCAGTGTTCTCCTATCCTAGTACCTGGAGACCCACATGAGCAGGAAGACAGGAGACTGGACAGAAAAACCCACCCTCAGGGGTCCCGTGGTACACTCAGCTTGAAGGCTGAAAACACTGACAAGGTTCTGTCCTCTCTGTCCCCATGGGAAGGGTTACCCTGGCAGTGAGGCCACAGAATCTGCCCTAGCAGCCCACATGGCCAGGAAGTTCTGGTGGTCTACAAATGCCAAACTCGTAGCCCCTACAGCAGATAGTTGTGGAGCCATGGGATGGACGTAGTCCTGGAAAGGAGCTTGGGAGGTGCTGGCCCCAACCCTTCTGTCAGACAGGCCCCAGAGCCTGGATGGCTGAGAAGCTGGACTTTGAAGCAAACCCTTCTGGGACTGACTCCAGCTCTGACACCTCTTCCCCATGTGACCCTGGACAGATCACTCCACATCCTTGACCTTAGTGTCCTCACTTGGAAAGTGAGATACTGAAGCCCATTCCCTGGAGGGGATTGAGGCTCAGTCTTGCTCTGAACTCCATTCAGTGAGCATCTAAGCACACAGCCCCCCTCTCCAATGGTCACCCTTCCATAGCTATCCATGAGGCATCACTCCAGCTCACTTGCTTGAGGCAGCTCCTGACATCTGTGTCCTCAGACCTTCCTATGCACAAGGGAGCCAAAGTACAGGGACCAGAGGGGCACACAGTGGGGCCCCTACCCATACCCTGCAGTCACACCCACAACCATCGGTGAAATGGGCTGAGGGTTGGGTCATCAGCCCTACCTCCTCTAGAGGGTCCCTACCTTTTCTCCATAGTCCAGTTAGATCAGAGTCACGGGGTAATATCCAAGAGTCCCAGTGCTGCTGGTCTAGGGCTAGAATGGAGAGCTGTGCCCCTAGACCTTAGTGCTTGTATTTCCCACTGGCTTCAGGCTACAGCCAGCTCCCGCATCACACTGGCCTGTGGGCTCAGGGGTCTCTAACCCCTGTTACACAGGCAAGCATGCACACGCACATAGCTGTGCTATGGGTCACAGTGGGTCAGTGCCACCCTGACCAACACCAGCACACGTGACAGCCCCCCTTCTGTCCTCCTGCCCTCTCTCACCTCGTCCAGTGCACCACCCTCACACCTAGGCCTGAACTCCTTGTACCTTTCTCCATCCAGGCAGCCTCAATTCCCCTCCTCTGTTTTGTTCCCTAGAACAGGCCTTGTAATTGCAACCTCTCAGGGCAGGAGGATCTCCCAGGATTGTCCCCACACTCCCAGGGCCATGGTGCATAGGTTGAGCCATTCCAGGGCAGCAGGGGATGGGAAAGGGTAAGAGATGAACTCAGATACCAACAGACCTGTGTTGTATCCACAGGCGAGATTGTGGCTCAGGAGTGGGTTGTTGGTAAGGCTTTGGTGGTTCTGGGGGGTTGAGCTCTCCAGCACAGAGGTGGGGGGCAGGGGAAGCAAAGGCCTGGAAGACAGGCTGAAGGGAGGATTGGAGCCAGACCAGAGTCGGGTCCCACAATATGGTCTGAGCCATGGACGAGAAGAAGGCTATGTTTCTCCAGCACTGCCAATAGTCACCTCTTTATGTCATGGTCACATCATCTGTGGAATACCACTGAAATATCAGAACACACTGGTCACTGGGGAGAACCCTCCTGCCAGCTCATTGTCTCTGGGCTGAGCCTGAAAGCCAACAGATGCCTGAATCCCCCAGAGGCTGCCTGCCCCATGGGGATGCTGAGGTTGTCCTCAGGGATGGCTGAAGCTGTGGCTCTTCTAGGAGCATAGCGGGGTCAGGAGCAGTCACTGCCCATCTCTGAAACTCTGTTTCGCCATTTCTCAGAAGCCTGGGTTGGACCAGATTGATCTCTGAGTCCTGCCAGTTCTTCCACTTGGATATTCTGTAATCTGGGAATGAGGGTGCAGAAAGGGCTGGGAGTAGCCGAATGAGACAGCATGTAGGCTCACTGTGTGTTCAGGCTGGGGCTAGAGAGGCATCCCCGGGGGCTCAGCCATACACCATGAGATGGGTCTGAGCCTGGAGCCCTGCCTGTGAAGGAGAGCAGGCGTAACATCTTCGTCAAGAAGCTTGCAGAACTGAACTTGCAGGGAGGCCCCCAGTCTGGACAGGGGTAGAGCTGCTGAGAAGCCCCAAGAGTGAGGATGGGAAGAGGTGAGAAGGCACGCACTTGGCCAGAGCTGGGAAGGACAAGGTGAATGCCCCTGCCGCTAGGGAGTGGCCAATCTTGTTGGAGAGAAAACCTCCCAAACAAAAAGAGAAAAAGCTCAACCCACAGAGAATAAAGTTTGGACTCTGGGGCATCAGCAAGGAGAGACCAGAGGTACTTCTGGAGAGAGAGGGTGTGGAGAGAGTGTCTGGTGTAGGTCCTGGAGGAGATGCAGTCTAGCGTGGGCCTTCGAGCTTGCCCCTGCTCCAAAGAGGAGGCCTCACAGGGCAGAAACTAGTGAGAACATGGCATGGCTAGAGGGGACAGGATGAGGGGAAGGCCACCAAGGCTCAGAGGAAGCCAGCCCCAGCATCCCCTGCAAGTGGTGAGGGACACCCTTGTGCCTGGTTCTGAATGTACCAGCCACTCGCAGAGTGTGTGGGGTACAGCAGTCTGGGGAGAAGCTGGCAGGGTGGGGTAGGGCAGGTAGATGTGCAGAGCAGGGACCAGAGGCCAAGGTTTTGTCAGTCAGGGGAGATATTACTATAGGGTGTGGGCCTCAAAGGGTGGAGACTGATGGAGAGAGGAAGGAAAGAAGAAAGGGAAAGGAAAGAATGAAGAGAAGCAACAGAGAATCTTCTTTGCTTCAGAGCCTCGCTGGTCCCAGAGAATCAAGACTGATAGTTCTGCCATGAAAGCCACATAGTGGCCCACGAGGGTGTCTTATAGCCTTCACATGTAAGCTCACGCTCAGGTGTCCAGCGAGTTTCAGCCTCTGGTCAGAATCTCAATTCACACGCATCTCTAACAAGGGCAGTGCTGTCTCACCATAGGTTGGGTACTCATTGAAAATGACCACGCGTCACTAAAAACGATTAAATTATACGTGGCCTGTGCTGTTTAAAATGGCAGGAAATAGACTGCATCTTGAAAATATTTTCATTTCAAATTGTATTTTGACCATTAAGAAAAAATTGAAATCTTTAGTTGTTTGGAAGTTTCAGAAATCAGACTTCAACGGTGTTCAAGGGATCAGAGAGCGGGGATTAGGCTTTCATAGATAGGGCTAGGGAGGAGAGCATACCCTAAGGAGGCAGATGGCCTGGGTTCATGTCCTGGTTCCACATATCCCTCCCCTGCCCCTCAGCCCTGTGTCTTAACCTCTCTGGGCCTCAGTTTCCCCATCTATGAAGTGGTGATGACAACAGTTAAGTCAGAGGGTTGTCATAAGGATGAAGTGAATTTTAACCTCCATACAAAGTGCTTAGAACAGCCAGGCATAGTAATTCATGAAGTAGAAATTGCCGGGCTGTTATTGTTTAAAGAAATGAAGAGACTTTTATGTTACAAGGCTTGAGGGTACCCTGGCTCTCGGTAGGAGCCCCAACCCTATGTCTAGTCTGCTGTAGGAGGTTTGATAAGTCCTGGTTTCCACGTTCAAGACTAGGGCTAAGTGTGAGGTAGAGGGCAGGGTTGGTGGGCTGTAGCAGTCGGATGGGAAGGTATGGCTGCAAGTGGAGGGATGGATGGGCTGAGCTGCTACCCCAGGGCACTCCAGGCCTCAGAGTCTGAGCCGGGCCTGTGGGTATCAGAAAGGGAAGTGTCTCACCAGCACCAGACAGGGCAGCTCCCTGGCGATTCCTTCTACTTCCCAGAGCAAGGGCTGGGCAGAAGGGAGGCCCTGCAAGACCTCCTTGTCCTCCCTCTTCTTAGCACCTCATTTCCAGGGACACAGAGGACCAGGCTTTGGCATGTTCACCCCTTCCTGTTGTTCACTTCATCTACAGAGCCCCCAGAGTTGCCAGGCCCCCTGTTACTGATCTGCTTTGCAGGAAAGGCAGCTGAGGCACAGAGAAGTTCAGTGACTTGCTCAAGGGCAGCATAGAGACCAGAGCTTAGTCCTGGGGCTCAGCGCCCCTCACTCTCCCAGGGCCACCCTTGGATCTTGAATGAAACCTCCCCTTCCTAACCTTGCCCCACCCTCCCTGCTGCGCTGCCTAACTCGCTCACCTCTCCTGTCTCTCTCTCCCCACCCCGCCATCCCTCCTCCCTGCCCACCCCCTCCCCTCACCGCAGGGCCCGAGGGCTGTAACCTGTTCATCTACCATCTGCCCCAGGAGCTTGGGGACGCTGAGCTGATGCAG